ATACTTTCAGTGTTCTTGCATTAGTTCACAATACAAGGTTAATACTTGCTATATGCAATGTAGTGGTTGACTGACACTACATTGCATGTCATGCAGTATATCGCATGCAATATATTGCAGGGGGAAAAAAGACAAAGGAAATGTTCACTACTCTTACCGCTGCTGCGCGAGGCACAGGAACAAATCCGCAGAGGTTGCACACAGAACATTTGCATTCGGTGCAGGTACTGAAGTTGGGTGGACTGTTGTTGAGTTCGACCTTGCAGAGTGGACAGACGGACAAACCAGTTTCGGAAGCACCTTGTTTTACCTCTGTAACTGTACTAACAGACTCTGATAAGGATTCCACTGCTTTTATCTCTGGAAATGCAGTAAGTTGGGCCAAGGTAGGTGGAACTGGTTTCTTAGCAACATCGGGTTTGTCCTTCATACGGGCTATCTTAGGAGAAACTGAAGGTGTAATCTGTTTAATATCCACAGCTGTGGTTGACATCTTAGGAGTAGTTAGTGGTGATCCAAGATCTACCATTTTCTTAGAAACAGTCTCATCAGACTTTGAGGCAGAGGGTTTTGCATTAGGAGCACCACAGTCCTGTTTTGGAGTTGGGGGTGGTGGTGCAGATTTAGTAGGAAATTCTCCAGATATCGTGGGGTTTTGTGGTGTTTCCACTGCTTTTTGTTTAGAAGAATGATCCTCATCTTCTGGCGTTGTAGGTTGCATTCCTTTTAGTGCCTTCCCAACAGACTGCTGCTGCTGCTTAGCTAAACCTTGGGTGTTTTCTTTTTCAGTACTATTTTCCTTTTGGGTAAATGTTGTAATCTCATTCTGTTTAGATGGATACGATATGAAAGTCTTGCTTGTTGAATCCTGTGGTTTAACGACAGAGTCAATTTCAGACCCCAGTGCTCCAGAGGCTCTGTGCATCTGGCAGTTGAGACAAAGCCATTCTTTTGTCTGAAATCACAGGTGCACATAGAAGAGAAAATAAGGATATAAGCCAACATAAGTAAATGAACTATGAATACGAAAAAGCATATATTGAGACAATATTTGTAGATGAGTTGGGTAAAGAAATTATTATAATGTGCATTAAGAAATAACTCTAAAGACAGTAGCCCATAGCATTTATCAATCTATTAGAAGAGTTTGCATTTGGAACTGTGCTCTCTTTATGCAATGTAATGCTTACAAAATTGTTTTCAATAAGTATAGATTGAAATTGTTTAAAATGGTTTATACTAAGAAAGGCAATGGGTCTATGGACACATCCAATATATATTCTGAAATTAATACAGCACCTTGAGTTGACATCTTAAAGTATTTTGCACGTTTAGATCAGAGGCTCTGCATAACAGTACTGCTGGTAGAGGAAGGTCATATAATTTTGTTTTTTGGCTAGTTAGGAAGATAAGCAAAGAAACAAACCCACCAAAAAACCAAACCCCCAAGCAACATTTGCTTAACATTTATATACTGTAATGTTGAAGCCAATGAATAAAAAGCATAAAATGTGAGGTGATGCCTTACCTCTGTTTCACTTGGTAGTGGATTAAATCCACATTGGT